GCGGGGAGGGGAGGGCTTGTCAAAATAAGGGGGTTGCAATTGTATGGTGAATATAAAAATAAAATTTATTTTAAAAAAATTCAGCTGATATCAAAACGTACAAAAAGGTAATTATGATTTAATATTTAAAATTTATGAATCAGTAACAAACTATTTTGACACAAAATAAGACAAAGTTATCCTAAAAACCAATAACGATTAAACCGTAAGAGCAGAATAATCAAGAAATGTTTCTTAAATTAAAAGCTAGCCACTTCCAACAAAGAAAAGTAAAATTAGAATTTTTCTTACATCAGCTAATTTTTTTTCCCTAAAGATTTACTTATTTATGCATACAAGAGCTGGGGTGCAGGCCAGAGATGCGGTGGATGAAAGGATTCACCAGAGACAGAGTAAGGAGAACAACAGGCACATCTACCGAAATACACTGCCGAAGGGAGCAGCAGGCGAGACAGGAGAGTTCTGCTGTGCCTTGTGGGTCACCTCCCTTGCCGGGGGTCGAACTTGTGCTGAAGTGGCTGCGGATAGCTTCATAGTGCTGTGTTTTAACCCCTTGCGCCACCAGGGAAGCCCCAAGTTACTTTTCTTAATGGAAAGGTTTTACACGGAAAACTCATCATTTGGAAGGAAAAATTTCCTTTAAATTTGCCCACGAATTTTTTTTTTTTAGATTGAGACCTAAGATAATGACTCCTGTAAAAATTATTGCAGCTGACATGGACCTCATTGGTTATGGATGTAATATATATAATGTATATAAATATAATATATAAAACACAATTTTTCCTCATACCTAAAAAAGGCAGCAAAAGCTTACAAAATTGTATAAATAGAGCATAAAGCTAAAAGAAATAATAGAAAAATGCATATAGACTTAGCTTTTCATATATATACTTTATACTCTTCAAAAATAAGTCATTATGCATAATGATTTGAGTGGAAAAATATGTTCCACTTCGTTAAAGAATTCTTCTATACAGGAAATTTGGGATGAATTAATTTTAACAGATATATAACCCACTCAGCTTAATTACTGTTAATTCCTAAACTTCCTTGCATCCCCCACCCCACAAAGACACAAATTCAAGACCCAAGAAGAGCCAATTGGGGCCTCCCCAGAGGCACAGCGGTTGAGCGCTAGGTTGCTAGGCTGCCTGCAGCCTCTGCAGTGCTGGTTCCATCCCCAGCGGCAGGGCGAGGGTCCCACATGGCGCGCAGATCTCTCCTGCCGCATCCGCTGCTCCCCTCAGCAGTGTACTTCGTCAGTCTGCCTGCTCTGCACCCTGCTCTGGTGAATTCTCTCACCCTCCCATGCTTCTGACTGTACCCAGTGCTTGTATAAATAAATAAAAAAATATTAAAAAAAAAAAAGAAGAGCCAATCCTTGGGTCCAACCTGCAATGTGAGCGAAGGAAAACTTAAACAGAACTGCTCCTGGTCCTCACCCCACAGCTCCCTCTCCCAACCCCCAGGTCTGAGGGGCTTGTCTTCTTTCTTTCTATGGGGTAGACATCTTAAGAACCCACAGTATTACCATGAAGGACAGTTGCAGGCTGTTTTCTGCAGCACCTTAAGTAAGAGACTGTTACAAGTAAGAGACTACTGTTGGCCTGTCAGTACTGAGGCCCATAAAGTTGCTGGAATAAGGGTGTTACTAGTTCAATTAAGCAGTAATTTTGCTAAGCCAATAAACTGTCACCTGTGGTGTATAGCATACAAGATATGGAAATACTTTCCCTAATGTTCAAATACTCTTTTATTTCTCGATCTGGTTGCTTTCCAGATGGTTTAAAGATAAGACCTTACTACCAGTTAAGTAGGCATTTGTGAACAGTGCCAAAGAAGCATTAAGTTCCGGAACAACTAAGATTGGTGCCTACTAGCATAATCCCTGGCACATGGAAATACGCAAACGTTTGCTGAATAATGAACAAATGAGTTCTAAGAAGTAAAGGGAAGAAGCAGCTGTCTACATTGGTATGTCATAGTCAGATGGCCCTGGGTCCATTTTTAGGGCCTGCCAGGCTTTGCAGTCTTTTTTCAAATACAGGCAACATTTTTCAAACAGTTTAGCAGCTCAACTGTGGAGGCCTTACATATTATTACTATTTAATGTAAAAAGACACTGGAATAACACAATAGCACATATTAGATGCTCAATAAATGCCTATTAAGTTACTACAATCCTTCAGGTTAGTCTAGAATCCATAGAGACTTAATATAAATATTAACCCAAGCAGTTTTTCTGGGCAGGCTAAAAGATTAGTATGTAACAGTTTGAACACATTTTTTCCCACACTACACACCACTATCTGGTGTCTGGATGCAGACAAAAATTCTAGAAGGGCAAAGAAAGATATGCAAAATCAATATAGAAGAGTTGTATGAAGAGGTGTGTAGGTGAGTTCCTGACTATTCGTTTTTGTTTTTATTAGTTTTTTTAATTTAAATTTTATTTTTATATTCCCCATACAATTACAACCCCCTTATTTTGACCCCAATCTCTCCTTTCCCCACCCCCCACCCCCCATAGAGTGTCTCTGGTTCATAGTTGTTTGGTGATTTTGATATTTTCTTTCTTATAGTTATTCTTTTTCCTGGTCCCTTATTTAAGTTTTCTAGATTCCTGCTATGAGTGAGACCATCCGGTATTTTTCTTTTTCTTTCTGGCTCATTTCGCTGAGCATGATCCCTTCCAGCGCCATCCATGTTGCTGCAAATTGCATGTGTTCATCTTTTTTGAATGCTGAGTAATATTCCATGGTGTAGATGTACCACATCTTCTTGATCCAGTCATCTATTTTTGGGCATTTGGGTTGTGTCCAAAGCTTGGCTATTATAAATTGTGCTGCTATAAACATAGGAGTGCAGGTGCTCTTTGGAATTGATGTTTCTGTGTCCTTTGGGTAAATACCTAGGAGTGGAATTGCTGGATCATGTGGAAGCTCTATGTTTAGTAGGTCCAGAAATCTCCACACAGCTCTCCATAGTGGTTGGACCAGTTTGCACTCCCACCAGCAGTGCAGGAGAGTTCCTTTTTCTCCACAACCTCGCCAACATTTGTTGTTGCTAGTTTTTTTAATATGTGCCATTCTCACTGGTGTAAGATGGTATCTCATGGTAGTTTTGATTTGCATTTCCCTGATTACAAGTGATGTTGAATATTTAGTTCCTTACTATCCTTAAAGACAACTAAAATTATCCTTAAATGAGCAGTCTGTACTTATTTCTCTTTTTATAAGTCATAAAGGAGGCTTTTTCCTTATCTTTACAAACCTCCAACCCCTCTCCTATAGCTCGTATCAGGATCTCAAGGTTTTGTGGAATAAAAGGAATGAAGAAACAATCAAATTAACAATCACCTTTCTGTTTATACTGAGGCAAGGATATTATAACATTTTATTTTTGGTATATGTTCCAGTCCCCAGAGTAGTAATTAACTGATTTCACTTTTACAAATCAGAATAAAAGCAAGGCAGAGCAATGAAGAGCTGGGAATCTGAACTGAATGGCTAGTGACTTGAGCAGGTTACTTAACTTGCATACTTCAATTTCTTCATCTATCAAATGTTAGGAAAAAAATCACAAATTCTATTTCATAGGGTTGTTATGAAAATTTAAAAAGGCTTTGAAGAGTATCTGGCACTTACTATATTATGTAAGTGCTTGCTGAGGGAGAAAAAAAAAATTTCCCTGCTACCATGTTTAGCAAAAATGGAGTAATTTAGAAACTTGAAAATCTATATTACACTCTGATACTTGTATCATCTTCTCACAATATGTGTAAAATTATTTCAATATCTAAAAAAGCTGGCTCTTTAAAATTGCCAAATATCTACAGAAGCATTATTTAGGTCACTGTTTCAAAATAGCAATCCAAAATAATTAAAATGTTATGGTATTAAATGTTAATGACAAAAAGAATGTCAAGGACAACTTCCCTTATAAAAGAATGAGCTAGAAAATTAATGGTTACCTCATTTCTCAAGTGAATCAATACTTAAGAATTTGAATTAAGAACAAGGTACATTTGGTTTTACTTGTTGGATTTTGTTTTATAATATTTTTTATTAAAATGTATTGTAAATGTGCTACTAAAATTTAAAGCAAAAGTATTTTTCCTTTGAGAAATACACTACTGTGGCAGTTATAGAGTGGTTAACAAGTCTGTGGTAAAGTGTGAAATGAAATGCCTAAAATGCTATTTCAGAAAACTGAACAGGAATGTCAATGTAGAAGGGAGGGAAAAACTTCACATTTGAAAATGAAATAGAATAATAAAATGCATGTTAATATTTTTATATGCTTATAGTTTTAACATATATTCAAAAGCATTCCAGACCATTTTTTACCTACACACTACAAAAATTTAACTAAATTTGATAATGACTTTACAGCTGTTTGTAGCATTCCCAAGATTTCATTTATACACTGTTCTCCCTTAATTACATCTCTCCACCTTCAATATACAGGTTTTACTTATCATTTCTATCTGTTTTCCATTATTCATGAAATTTAAAAAGCATATATTACAGCAATCAATCTAAAATCTACAAAATCCTTTCAGTATTTTAAGTTACATAAAATATCATCTGTAACATTTTTCATCAACTGAAAAATCAGGTTATGAAATACATTTTGGCAACAGAGGGATTACTTGTTCCATATCTGTCCAAAGGCTGTCTTGCTACTAGTCAGGGTAATATTTTTCCCCTTTCCTTTTTTCTCTGCAGTGCTTCTAAGTATAGCGACAGCCGCATCAGGCTTTCCTAGTCTCGGCGCAAGCTCAGTGAAAATCTGGGAAATGTAAGTGGAAACATGAGAGACCGCTTTATTTGGCAATGCTTTAAAAAAAAAAAAAAAAAAAAGGACAAATGGCAAAGCAGTGTTTGGACCGCAGGATGAACAATCAATAGGCAGAAAGCAAGATAGAGACTTCCTCAGCTTTTGGATCGACAATCGACAGCTGGGAGACTATTTTTTGCTATGGTTGACTAAATATGGTCAGGGAAGAGAGAGGCACAAGAGAGCCTGTTTGCCTGGGAGTGCATGTTTCAAATGCTTAGCTGCCTATAAAGCTGTAACAGTTTAGCCTCTGGCCACTGAGAGAAGAATATAAGCTAATCTCTTTAGTGACCATGTGGAAGTCCTGACCTTGCTTGCAGACTTGACCTCTGGATATGACAAGGTAGCTTCAATAAAGATCTACCACTTAATCCTGGAAACTAAAAACAAACAAAAAAAAAAAACCTCAAAGCAAGAAAGATGCAGAATATTTCCCAAGAAGTCAGAAGAACCCAATTATTCTGGTGGGCAGAAGATAACAGGGTGAATGTTTAAAGTTACTTGGGGGGAGTGAGGTGTATTTTGTTTTTTGTCTTTTTGTCTTTTTTAGATTATAAAATTTATGTATTCTGCAACTCTTTCCCCTCTTCTAAAGCGTTTCATCTGCGGAAGAAGCTAGGTTCATTTTCTTGGTCACTGTTAGCAACCTTCCTTGGTTGCTGAACTTTCTGCACAGCATATACAAGGTACTCATATACTGGTATAATACAGGTAATATGACATCTCAAATCAAGTGACCAATGTTGATTTAATTTTATTATAGTTTTGGTTTAAGAAAATGGGAAAGAAGGGGGGAGGATGTTTTGTTTTTGTTTATTCATTTGTTTTTCACATTATCTTAAATGGTGAAGTTCTGTGTTTACTAATACCTCCCCCTTACTTTTCCCAGCTCGTGAAAAGAAGTGCTGAATCAGCAGAGTGAAGGAACAATCAAGATGAGATGGCTGCTGCTGGTGTGACTCTAGGTCTTTACCTCTCTTCCTGCTACAAATGCTGCATGACACTATGTAACAGAGCACCACAAGGTAACAATGCACCACAAGACCTATACTTTTAAAGATGCTTATGACTTTCTGCATAATTGCTACGTATTACTGAATTGACTTATGATTTTATTGTTAAATTCTATCTGGGCATAGCATAATTTCAGTCAAAGAGCTTATGTAGTGTAAAGAGGAATGTTGTTCAAATATTAAGACAGATAACTTGATCTCAAAAATGTACAAATTCATTACTATCATGTACATTATTAAAGATTTATTATTTATTGTTTCAGATTAAATGGTGATTTGTATCTGTAGAAATCACATCCTACTTTAAAAGTATGCTATCTTTTAAAAACTATTAACGGTCTATTTCAAGGTTTAGTGAACCAAGAAACTTAGCAGACCATAAAGCACTTTTTAATGTTTCTATTAGTTGGCCACAAAAATAAATCAGGATGTGCAGGGTGAAATTCTAATGCTGCATTGCTGAAACTGCTGTAGTATTGGGCTATCCGCTGCTACGACTTCTGATTTGCTCTCTATGAGCTGCACTAGCTTTTTATCACAAACTGCAGAAATTCTGGCTTTACCTGCCTTTTTATCCTCCTTTCCCAAATCTGAAAAACGCTTAAAGTTTTCTTTTTAACTAACCTCAATACCATAATAATTAAGGGAATCTCACCAACTATAACTTCTTTATATGCTAAATGAGCAGGCTAAAACCCAAGCGCTCATAAGCTAATAACCTTCTAGTTCTTTTGAGACTGAAACTTGACTGTCCTAATTGTTATCTTTGACGTTAAAAAGATTAAAGGAGCAAAAGAACTAAACTCACCAAAATCATACTTTTATACATCTATTTTCATTTGTATTCAGTCCAAAAGGAAAGATCAAAATACCAAATTCAGGTAAGTAATTGATAAAGACAAAAAAAGGACAAAGAATTTTTCAAATGATCATGATTTTTTATCATCTTAAAAAAATTCATCATCTTTTCCTTATTACTTCAACTTTACAGTCAATATTTGCTATTGGTTAATTCGCGAAGTTTTTAAATAAGTCATCTAGTTTGTAAAAGGAATTTGCACCAAAATAATTACTATCTAACTTGTAGGATCTAGAAGAAACTACAAAATATGAAGAAATTCACTCTGAAGACTATATGGAAACACTAGGCTGATATTATCAATTTCTGAAAAACACTTTGTGAAACTCCACTGATTCTATAAATCTCTTACAAAAAGAATCAAGCCAAGATAAAGTTCAACAGATAACTGTTCAACATTTAGAAGTATCCATATTCACCAAGAACAAGGAGTTATAAATGGCACTGATGGACATGCTTCAGGTAATTTGTTAAAATTTTATAATCTCTGCAAATGATCTACCATTGCTCTACATCAATAAGCTGAATGTTTTACTAACAAATGGGTAAATAAAACAGTTCATGTTTTTACAGCTAACAACTTAGTAATAACCTACTCAGAGTACATACTTCTTTATGTACCCATATGAACATACAATGCTATGGAATGTAAAGAAGTATGTATTTTTGGTAGGCAATAAACCACCAAGAGGGAAATAAACTGCAGCGATAAGAAGCCTTTGCTTCTTTCTATGAGAATGACCCTCATATAGTAAATTAACTTAGCACAAAAGAGATGACCTTTAGCAATACTAACACCAAAAAAAGCATACTTACTACTTAGAGATGGAAACTAATGTGGCTAAAGTTCATATTTTGTTAAAAAAAAAAAAGGTTCAACAAAAGTAGATTTGAAATTATCATGAAACTCTTTTGCATCTTTTATGTTTTAAAGCATACTGTATTTTACATTTTTAATCAAGTACTCACATGATTAAAATTAGACTACAAAAGAGAAAACCCAGTACTGCTAATGCAGAAGAATGAGGGGATACACATGATCTATTTTGTCTCCACAATTTGATTTTAATTTAAGATTACATTAGTCATGCCAACTGAAGAAAAACAAGATATAACAAAAGCTGACTTCATTTAACAACTGTTCTTCATGAGTTGGTAAATTTATAATCTATTACTACATGAATTTATAAAATTTTGTTGTTTCAGGTTTTCTTTTTTTGAATGCTACTGATAGAGTTGTAATTCTAAAAAACTGTCTTTTAAGTAAAATTTCACTCTCAAAAAAAAAGTAATTGATTTTACCAGGTCCTTATGCTAGTCTCCACTTTAAAAACTAAATTAATACATAGAATAAATCAAAACAAAGATTTATGCATGAAAAATGACAAAATTCTAAGCCACAGTTATGTCAAGAGGCACAATGATAGCAGACTGCTAAATATTTAAAAGAAATTAATTTATTATTTATATTATTCCTGAATATGCTTCCTTCAAAGGGAGGAACATAAAACAAATGCACTATTGTCAAGAAACCAATCTATATAGAATCTTTTTATAGTTACTGTGCAATTACAATTCAATTTCTATAAACATGATAGACCCACTATAGGACTTTAGATATCAAAATACTTTGTTTTCACATAAAAATTATTTTGCATAATATATTAATAAAAACTATAACAAAACTCTTAGCAATCATTTAGAAGCAGTGCAATACCCATTTTAAGCTGTCAGATAGATTTAGACAAAAATATTAAATTCACATATTCTAAACATTGCTTACTGAAAGTATTGTTTCAGCTTGAATATTTAGACATATATAAAAAATATTTTAAATTTTTTGCGTGTCACAAGTAGAACAGAAATGGTATAAGATTAACTGATTTTTTTTTCTCTTTAGTAAGGCTAGATAAAGTTGTCAGAAGATTATTATTTTGTTTACAGATTAGAAAAATGAGAAAATGACTTAAATGTGACAGCATATAAAAGCAATTATATGTTTACTGAAAATATAAAAAACTCGTAATTTTAAAATTCTACAATTTGAAAGAAAAACCAGTTCAAAGCATTAACTCACTTAAGTATAGCCCTTCTTTCTGATTATCCACAAACAGAATGGCAATGTTTCATATTCAATTTGTTAAGTTTAACTGTACTCGCTCTATATGCCAAAAGCTGAAAATATATACCTCAAAAGTAGAGGGTCCTCTGTAAAACTACTCAACAGGTATTAATATACTCATGATGTTTTATAGTGAAAAATTATACTTGTTATAGTATAGATGTAAAAGTTTTTAATAATTACTTTAAAACATCCCAGCAACTAAGAATCTTATTGTTACAGTATTAAGAGTATATATAATCCTTGAAAAACAAATGCCAGCATCTGTTGTTCATATTTAGAAGTAAAATTACATACTGATTCTGGTGTTTACAAGTTTAACTTAATACATCTAAGAATATTTTCAATCACTCTAAAATGTCACATCTATCACTTAGGTCAGCTGTTCATTTTTAAGAGAGTACATATTAAACTCTGGGCATCTGCTGACACTGGTGTAACTCAAACATTTCAACTGTCTCCCTGACAGGGATAACAGATGCTGACATTATCAAATGTTGTACTATTTTTTTTTCCATGGCCTCTCCTTGCCCCGATATGGCCAGTATATGAAAGTGAACTGCCATCCAAAAGCACACTTGAGCAACTGGATCTGCTAAACAGTTTCCATATAACTAGTAAAAATAGAAGTCAGTTTTATTGCTATCTTCAGCACTTAAGTCCAGGCAATTTAACACCTGTTTCACATCTATTAGAATAAATGATAGAAAGATTTGCCCTTACATTAATTTCACCCGCAGCATGATACTTACCAACCAACAGATGCAGAATATATTCAATATAAGAATTGTTTATAAATTGACTGAATTAGTGTTTACCTACTTCTAGACTAGTTCAAAACAGCAATTATTGCCTTATTCATTATATTTCCCTGAGAGCTCTGACTTTATAGACAAAATATAATTTCTCAAACTTTCACTTTCTGTAAATACATTTCAGAAGACATCCCTCCTCTGATATTGAAAAGCAACACTGAAATCACATTATAACAGTAATTTTCTATATTAAAGTATTATACGTAGATTTTAATACTTCAATTAGTGGATTATAGCTAAAGACCACAAGTCAATGCATTCTCAAGCTGACAATGAGAAGTAGACAGGCAAGCTTTACCCAAATGAATTCAGTCAAGGAAACAGATCTTTGAAAGGGTTCTATTACTAACCTATGATTAGCAACTCTACATACGTACATATGCAAAAACAAAGAAAAAAGCTGGCATGCAAACAGTTTCTTTCAACACAAGTCAAAGAAACACACTGAATACACGTTAGCTATTTATAAACTAAAGGGCAGAGGCACTTTCTTAAGGCTACTCATATTCCTCCACCCCATCAGCAACTTGCTATTAGTCCTTAAGTATTACACTAAAAACAGTAGCATCAGCAGAAAGATGTGAATAGCAGTACTCTTCCTTAACCTATTTGCTTACTTGGTTTACAGCTTAGTATAGAAAACATTATTTGAAATATATCAAGGTCTCTGGGTTCCTTTAAATATTGCTGGCTCTGAAACATGATATTGTCTATATTTAGGAATTAGGCAAGGTGTTAAAAATAAAGGCGTACATTGATAATTCCTTAATGCACTAGCAAGTTAAAGAGTAAATACTTCTACATTATTAAAGTAGAAAATAGTAGGAAAGTGTCCTCAAAATAGAAAATTTTACACTCAGTGAGAGAAGCACTAATAGGAGAATCTCATTTGTAGAAGGCTCATAACCGTAATTTTACAAATTTAAAGCATTTTAACTATTTTGAATCCCAAAACAGCATTGCAATGCTTTGCTAGAGCTGGTAAAATGGAACCAAATCGCCTCTTCAATGGATTTGGTCCCCTTCAACCAGCTGTAGCTATGCATTGATTACTACAGGACAACCAACAAGTATCAATCACATGTCAACTAATTTCAACTTATTTGTTTAAATTGTGGTGTACTTCAAATAATTTGTTACTGTTAATTCTACCTGGAAGTCCTACAATGGTTGAAGATGTTTATAAAAAAAATTTATATGAAAAATGTGTGAATGACTTATGGATTTCAAATAAAATAATTTTACTTATTTATGGTCTCTTGGTATTAATTTTTTATCCTTCAGAAGAGAAGTGGTAATAAAATATAGACTATGCACATAATAAAAAAAAAATCTTGCTTTAAAGAAAGTATCTGGGAATGTCATCTAAAACCCACCAGAAATCATAATGGGAATGCAAAAGTGTGGATAAAATGGACATGTGACTATCTTAAAGAAAACAATGACACCATATAAAACTTTAGAAGTGTATCGTTCTCTTCCATAGGATTAGCATTTAATTTTACTGCTATTTACCTGAATGTTGATCGGTAAGGTGAAAAAGGAAATGATGATACTGCAAAATCTTGTGACAAGACTTAAATAATACCTAGTTCTTCCAACCCTACCAATATTTTCACCCTCAAAAAAAAGAAAAAGCTAAAGCTAAAAATCACCAGTTTTTACTCATATATATATTTCACCTCTCCATAATTGTTTCCTGGGATATAAAATGAAGATCTCTTGTAATAACAACATTTTAAGGTTCTCATCACTCTATCATGTTTATCATTCATTAAAAAAGAATAAACAAGCCTCTCTCAGTGGAGAGACAATGAAAAGGAAAATGACAAGTAACCAAGCATCCCTCTAACTTTCTCACTGACTGCAATAAACTATAAATAAGGTAATATTTATTAGTAAATAAACATTTCAGCAGCTAATGAAGGGTTACTGATGGCAAATAGTTTAAAAACCTAGATAAACATCTAGGTTTGTTCATTCAACCCTCAATTCCTAACTCCTTCTCTATTCAAAGTGACAATCATTCCTTAAGAGAATGTGAACAAAGGAAAGTATATGTAAACAAATTTTATTACTTCATTCAAAGTAATATGCCTTCTTGCTTATAGTAATTATATCTTAGTCATAATACATGTATTTGTGTATTATAAGACATAATGTTTGAAAGTAGAGGCATAGAGATATATATACTAAAAATATATATATACTAAAATATATATATACTAAAAATATACTGTAATTAAACAGATTTTCAGCTTCTTTTTATATAAGCATTTATTACATTTAGAGTGTAAAGAAAGTGCTAAACACCAATAATTGGTCCAAATTATCAATTTTTTCTATATTAAACATTTTTACTTCCCAGACCATATTTCCAGAAGGAAAAGTATGACTTGCTCACATACTCAGTAAGATTTAGTTATGTGTCTTTATGGGAATAATCAGTTAAGTTAGTATGCAGCTGTGAAGTTATCTCAGTTTTAACCTGAAAACAACAAAAGTATATCACATCATGAGATTCATTTAGATTTTACTGTTACTTTTCACATTCAATTTATATTAAAGAAAAATGTGTAAATAACACTATAAAAGTAACTTTATAATATTGTTATTGGTACTTCCAGTATATCTATCGATTGTTTTTTGTCAGCTTTACAAAAAATATTAATTTATTTTCTTGTCTGTGAGGGAGCTCTAGAAACTTAACAGCAGCTAAAAAAATGAAATATCCTCACAGAAGATATCCAAGTAATGTGCTGATTAATGATAATTCAAAGAAATTTAGTTTTCATTTTTGACAACAGAAATGATTTCTGCCCTACATTTAAGTCTGAAATTTTATCTATATGAAGAAATAAAAGATAATGTGTCCAAACCCTAGGGAAAACATTTCTATAATTATCAAATATGAGAATACATATTTGAGTATTATTCTCAAAGTCTCTTCAGATTAAAAA